AATGACTAAATCAACGCATGGAGCACCACCTTCCTTGCCTCAGGATGTATCTCACATGTTGCCCTGTGTTCAGGGTGGGGCTCCCTCAAACACCCCTTTGCTTAGTTCCTTCCCCAGACATACCTTGCTTTCTTTTCTCCCCTTGTCTGAGAGCAGCTCCTCAATAAATCACTTAATATAACAATCCTCCTTTGACGCTCTGTTTCCGAGGAACTGATCTGAGATAGGTTACGTTATAATTTTCTTCTCTCATAGTCAAGAAACATCATTTATTTCCAAGAAATGCCACCAGTTTCAAAACAAGGACAAAGAAGAGAAAGGAAACAGAACAAAAATGGAAGGAAAGAAAACAGAAAGAAAATGGGAGGAAGGAAGAAAGGAAGGAAGGAAAGAAGGAAGGAAGGAAGGAAGGAAGGAAGCAAGCAGGGAAGGAGGAAAGGAAAGGAGCGAAGTTGGTTAAATAAATGAATACATCTAAATGACAGAAAACAACCCCGTGTTATAATGGTAATGTGTGCTCTTGAGTTGCTCTCTGTGATTTAGTGTAGAATAATTTCTCATGCTAAGTACAGAGAATTATTTATGTTGATTTTTTGCTTAAATAAAATGAGATGAGATGGAGCTGGGGGTGTCGACGCACACCTATAATTCCTGCACATAGAAGGCTGAGCCAGATAGGATCACAGCAAGTTTGATCGAGACCCTCCTCCCCTCAGAAAGATGAGATGGGATAGCTCCTTTTGCTAGAAAAAGGAAAGGAATCATCATTTTTTTCAACCAGAGCCACATTAATGTCTATTCTCCTTCTGAAATCCTGAAAAGCAAACAAAAAATAAACTCCTTGTGAGCAGGACATGTACCAGATAATTCAGGTTCAAATAGATCCACTTCTGTTCATATTGCAGAGATGAGGCATTCATATATAGATGATCATTATATTCTTACTTTATCTTGTCTTTGAACGAGTGGTAAAGTTATAAATAAAATGTTGTTCAAAGAGAGGTATAAATAAATTGACATAATTAGGTGTCATAATTAGGTGCCCATTGCTGTTTCAGACATATTTACATAATTGTCAGTGCTGCAATGAAAATAATTGTTTGCCAGGATTGCTTCTGTTAAAACTGATAGTGCCTTACTTAGTGTGGTTGGTTCTAAGTGGTTGTTTAGAAAATATTTTAAACTTTGATGTGGAATCACTGAGTACCGGCTTAAATTTTTGTTTATCAAGATTTCTTTTTCAAAAATAATGCAAAGGACTAATAGCTTGTAATTACAAATGTCACTCATACTTGAAATTTGAGAAAAATAAAAGTATGGTATATATATATACGCACATGCATGTAAGTAAAACTTTATACATATGTATGCACGTAATTGTATACATACACTTAGATAACTTTTGCTCTAGGTTTTAGCTTTTAAAATATAGAGCTCTTTGAGTATTAATGTATTCTTTATTAATGACTAACTTCCAAGGTCAACTGAAATACAGAAGTTGAAGGAAATTAATATGATTCTGTCTGAAAGAGGAAGATAGGGCAAAGATGCTTTTGTAGCAATTAGATCTCTTTATTAATCTCCTGTCTTTGAAACTGGATTTTCTCTTCTCCATATGTGCTCCAAATCCCTCCCATCTTTGCTCGTATGTCACCATCTCAGAAGGTTCTATTTTGGCCATCCACTTTTTAAACGGGGTTTCCCATCATCCACACATACATGTCATACTCTGCTTTACTTTTGAACGTTTTTCCATAGTATTTAATAACTTTTACCAATCTATATGATTTATCATTTATTCATTCTGTCACTTAGAAAGTAAGTTCCAGGAGGCAAAGATATTAGCTCTTTATTTCTAGTATGTGTTATTTCATTTTTTATTCACATTAATACATTTTTTGTTTTATATAATACACTTATTGCGGGTAGTACATATACGAATAGGACACACCTTAATTTCTTCTCCTCCTTGCAACATCTCTTTTTTAAAAATGTAAAAAACAGGCAACAAGGAATTTATTATTCACACAATTAAAAAGTCCACGAATAGTCACATGTAGGGATGATTGTATCCAGTTCACCTTTTAAGAATGTGGTATCTTTTTCTTTTTTCTTTTTCCTATCTTTTTTCTCTCTAGCAGCCTAAAGTCCTCTAGAACATGTATCTTGTTCTTTCATCTGTCTATTCCTAGAGCCTAGCATTATACCTGATCAAATAGTAAGTGTTCAACAAATACTTAATTAATTATTGAGTGGGAAAACCACTACATTATGCTAATCTTAATTTACCGAGGATAAGACTGTAACTTTTAGTGAGTATAGCAGATCCATTGGGTGGGAAAAGTATGTATAATTTGAAAACAAAACAAAACAAAACAAAACAAAAACCTTGAAAATTTTGTGGCACAAAACTCTTCTACTATCCTTCATTATTTGCTGCTGAGAATCATTGTTTTAACCAAGCAAGACTTTCTTTTGGTGTCATGTGTGACTACAGATCTTATTTTTATCCAAATAATTAATCAATTCTTTTAGACAATCTTTAAACTATTCATCCTTCCCTCTTCACACATAGTAAAATAAAATTTATTTTACCTTCTCACTCTCTTATCATATGTAAAATCTCTATAATAATGTAAGAATATACATTATTGTATATAATAAGTAAAGATGCCTTTATGGCTTTTATCTTGTTTCTTTCACTACTCTGTGAGTCACATGATAACTCCATATTCTTTTTGATAACTGCAAATTTTTAAAGTTTCATTATCTGGTAGTTCAAAGAATGAATGCAAAATTCTTGTATTTGTTAATTATGCTTAAATGAAAATAGCCATTTGTGATTTGAATATCTACTTTTTTTCCAGTGCTTTCAGTCAAATACAGGATCTTGCATAAGTTATGCAAGGTTTTGGTCTCTAGGGTAGGGTCACAGCCTGATTCTGAGTTTTGGTGGTTATTGCTTAGGAGTAATTTACGGATCTGTGAATATCTTTATACACATTTCCTTCTTCACCCAATCAAAAGTATGGGAGCAAGGAAGGCTTTATCTGATTATTTATAACAGAAGAACTGAGTTACAACCCATTTTCCAGGCCACAGACTGACAAAGTACTTCAAATTATCCTCAAGGATTTCCTTTTGGTTCAACAGCAGCTAAGCTTTAGATGCTTATAGCACCTAACTCCATCATATAAATGTTTATTGTGCTAAAAAATTGTTCCTGATATGAAGTAGAGTGGGTACAGCCCTTTTGTTCTAACTGCCCTCTTCTACTGCTAATAATAATCAATGTCTCTTATTGTAACATGATTTAACTTGTAGCTAGACAGTTATGTCTCCCCTCAGTCTCCTTCAACTTGAATGAGTGTTCCCACGCTCTTAACCTTTTCTCCCAGGTCTTGTTTTCCAAACCTTTTATCATTTTTGTTAGTCTCCTCTGAGATGCCAGCCTATCTTCTTAAAGAGAATACTGTATCTGATAGCTTCACCTGAAGCAGAACCATTTCCTCACAGAACAGAATTGGTTCTTTTGTTTAAGGCGTTTTTCTTTTGAGCTATTTCACAAGGCCTTTTTTTCTAACCTACAGGTGAATTGTACTATTGCTTAATAGTGTTCCCCAGTTTTACAGCTATTTGGAAATTTACCAAATGTCATCATCAGACCCTTGCACAGATGTACAAAATATAATGAAGCAATTATTTAAAAGAACATAAAACTAATTGTTTAAAAACTTACAAAAACCCCCACCAAACCTCTCCAAGTTAATCCAGCTGTTATCTCTGACCTGCTTTCAGCAGGAAGTTTACATGTAAAGAAGAGAATATTATTTGCAGGTGTGAAGGCCCCTTGACAGAGATTAACTTAAGAATTTGGCTGTGTTATTTGGCCTTGTTTATGTTTTGTTGTTGTTTTTGTATTCTTCTGTGATATATAATCAGGTTTTTCAGAAAATACAAAAACATGTACTTCTCAAAATTACAATAGACATTAAAATATTACAGAATTGCACAAGAAAAAATTAATACCAATTGATACCAATCCGCATATCATTTTGTAACTAATGTGCAGATTATATTATCATTGTTACTGATAGGACATGATATCAAATGGTATTGTTACATGACAATGTCATCTAAAATGTAGCACAATCCAGAATGCATGATAGCAGTCTCTTTTCTGAAAGCCTCATGCACTGAATTGTCTGATCACACACAACACACACACACACACACACACACACACACACACACATTCTGTAACATACTGTTACGCCATCCAACCATAAGTCTTTAATGAAACCCCAAACCTTTGTGCAATATCAATCTGCCAAAGAAAGTAGTCCCTTTGCAGGTGATATAAGCAAACTCAGCTGCTTCCCTTTTAAACTTACAGTTTCTTCTTCCACAATCAATCTAGTTGCTACAATTATCTATGTGACAGATGTTAAATGGAGAGATGTTTAATTTTCCCAAGGTGTTATTATATACTTATTTTATGTTCATTTGTTTTCACTCACCTAACTGCTTCATTGGAGTGAAATTTCCTCGATGACTGTCTTGGGTTGTGTGAACTCCACATCTCATTTCTAAATAAGTCTTCCCTGACCTAAAAAAGCATTTTACTGCCCTATAAAAATAAATCCTTTTGCTCTGTGTATCCTCTTCTAGCTAATGATTAAATCTACATTTCACAAGGAGTTATCTGAGTACAATGGGATATTTATAAGGAAAGGATCCTCTGGTCAAGTTGGGTTGGGAAACTATTCTTTCCCTCCTGGAGAATCACGATCCCCATATGAATAATAAAATCTTAGAAAAGCCTAAGAGGGAAGAAACCCATTAAAGGCAACATTTCCCAACATTTTTGGACTTGACACTTGTTATGTTTTCCTCCCACAGAGCTCTCACTAACAATCTTTGGAAACCACTAGCAAAACTGTGAAATATTGGTTACAACAATATTTCATCCAGTGATACCTTCTCTGGGGTGGGCCGAGTCTTCTAAGTATAAGGAAGCAGACCAATTGTGTTTCTTTTATGGTCATCTACAAAATATGTAGGCACATGGTGAGATACTTGAGCATGAGAGGTGGGAAGAGGCAGTCACGATACTAATTGCTAAAATAACTATTAAATATGTATTTTACACTGGACAACCTTACACATCTTATGGATCATCAAATCATTCAGTGAGTGTTTATGGAATGCCTATTTTTCTGAGCAGTGGGAATCAGTAAAAGCAAGGAAAAATCCCCATCCTAATGATGTTTAGATTATCACATTCAATCCTTATTTTTATTTCACAGATGAGAACACTGATGTTCAGAAATGTCACCAGGACTTCAGGATTTGCCCAAGGTCATCGAGATGGTTACTTAGCACAAGAAGGTATCTGGAAACCTACACAGACTTCCTCATGAACCCCCTATCTCAGCGCATACCTCCTTGGTCCTGGTCCATGCAATTGAATATAAGAGTAGCCGACAGCAGAGACCTGTGGAAGATTAGATCAGAGGAATCAAACTCAGAGACAGCTCATCAAAGCTATCGTCCTCAAGACACTTGATTATGCGTTACAAGCTTCTTCAATGACTACCTATCATAATATGAGGAGGGAAACCTAGAGGCATATTTATGTGTATAAATAACACTCTTCTGTTTTTCCAAGACAGCTTGGCATCAGCACTCGCAGTAAACTCTTTCATTTTACCAGGAAACTTAATCTATATGTTTATAAATCACTCTCCAAAAGTGAGCCTCAAACCCACTTTTAAGTTCACTAACCTCTCATTGCTTCTTGCAGACAAGAATCTGCTGTTGTCAGAATTTCTGCCTGAGTCTTTGGGTCATGATCATAGGGGTGCAAAAAATGTCTTGAATTTAGGGTCAATCGCTGCCTTTTCATCCTATTGAGAGAAGACAAAAACATTCAGATCAGCTTATTTTTCCTGCTCTTCACTTTGTTTTGCTTCCTTAAAATGAAGATACCTTTTCACAAGCGGCTTTCAGAGAAGGATGTGACATGCACTCAGGCTGCTTACCCTCCATTTTATCTTCTTATCTCTCATAAGGTGAAGTTCTCCTAAGTTCCGTTGAAGCAATTGTCTTTTGTGCTTCTGCAGCACGCAGTCCCTGACAATCTCTTCCGTATCCTTGGCTTTACCTTCTGCCGCCATGCCGATGACGCACCAGTTTTCAGGCCAGTGTTTCTTTCTGAACTCAAAACCCATATTTGCAGGAGCCTGCCTGGCATGATCATCTATACATGTATCTTGCTACACCTCAAAGTTGCCATCAGGTCTCCTCTGCAACTTAGCCATTCTTTAAACCTTACATTTTCCAGAAGAGGGAAGTTTGTATTTATACCCCTCTGGCTTTGTATGCACTGAAGTTTCAATTATAACACCTTTGGGTCATTTGCTGATTGTTTTGCAACATGTTCCCTTACTCAACTGTGAACGTTTTGAGGACAGCTAGCAGGTCTTCTCTGCCTTCTCATTCCCAGTGCTGATCCTGGATATGACACATTGAGTGTCAGGTGATTGATAATGACATAAAAATATATTAACAAAGTTTATAAGTCAGAAAGAAAGCATAAAGGCAAAAATGATAATTCTTGGGAGTATCAATTATTTGCTAAGGATACTTAAAAGGTTAAAAGACTGATAAACTTGTTACAGTGATTGAACACTGGTAGCATTTTCTGTAATCATTTATACAACAAGGTTTCTGACTTTTATGCACAGAGGACTGTGGGGCTATGCCTACTAAAGATGTCTTTAAGCCTATAAAGGCTATATGTAGAACTTTTAAAAAATTGCTATTATTTGTGTTACCTTGGATCAAGAGGAAGAAATATAAATTATAGGTTTATGTATTTATAACTTTTTGTTACATGGTCAAAATACTCTTTGTATAACATGAGAAATCAGAAACATCTATGATGTCCGAAATTTTTTGATCCAATTCATCCCACATTTTTTTCAACTTACGGTCTTATTGGTTCTTTTCTCTAAAGTCTTATGACTTTAAAGAATCAGAGTCTATGCTTATTTATGAAGTTTGTACAAGCTTATTTTTTCTGGGACAATATAAAAGTGTCTTAGAATTTGAAATTCACTTTACTTGTTATCTAAGGCAAAAGTTTATCTGCATATTAAACATATTAATATTCACAAAATATCTCTCTTTTACTTATAATAAAACAACAATAAGACTGTAAGCCAAATCCTTCATTTCTCTTATCCACAGTTTATGTACAAAGTAAATAAAGGAATCATAAGCCTTGTGATATTTAAAATGCTCTCTGTGTTTATCAATTTATTCAATGAAAACAGGGGAGATTCTATGACTTTTCCTGTGACACTGTTGATACTTGCGTTTCTGAAAATGAAAAAGAATTAGTTATCTGATTTTGCTTTCTAAAACACAAGAGCCTTGATTTTTAAATGAAAGGCTGTCCCACTGCATGAAATACAGAATATCATGCCAAATGACTTGAACCTGGAACAGGGGTCTTCCACTGTAAGCAAAGAGTATATTCTCTTCGATAGGAGGGAGTATAGCATAGTACTCGGGCTTTGGATTCATAGATAAGAACAAACACATATTGGCATTTCCTATAAGCCAAGTTCTCTAAATGTGTTACATAAATTAACACATTTCATCCTCACAACCACCCTGTGAAGTAAGTACTATTTTTATCCCTTTTATAATTGAGGAAATTGATCACTTGAAATGTACCTAAAATCAGGAGTATACAAGTGGCGGGGCAAAAATTTAGACCCAGACAGTCAGATTTTGGAGCCTGTATTCTTTACCACAAGAATATGCTCTTTTGATATTTAAATATAGCTCTCCTCACTAAATGCATGGTTAGGAGGAACAAATCTCTTGAAGTCTTAGTTTTGTAATCTGTAGAGTCATTGTAAGAATGAAATGAACGTTGAATATACATTGGCTTTGGAGTGCCCCTCACAGAGTAAGATCTCCCTAAATGTAGCTGTTATCCACTGGGACATCATATAGACAAATTTTTATCTTACCTCTCATTAGACTCTACCAGTCAATACCCCAGAAAAAAAAAGTAGCATACTTGCATGTGTAATTGGTATAAATTTAACGAAGAGACTGTTAAGGAAAACTGACAGGGAGTAAAGAAACCACCTTAAAACTAGGCAATAATTATGGGGAGCCTGTACCCCTAGACCTAAAAGGGAGAGTACGGGGAGCAATTTCTAGAACCTTCTAGCTGAATGGATTGCCTAATAGGCACTCTTGTCCTTCATTGAGGAATCATCACTGCCAGCTTGTGGCTGGCAGGGATAGAACCAGAGTAATGAATACCTAGATGTTCACCTCCTGCCAATCCTAAGTCTCCTGCCAGTCTCCCTGTGATCACACCCAAAACAAAGTCTGAGCTCAAGAAATCTGCTCAAGAGTCTCTACAGTTTTCTAGTATCTGGTTTATCACTTCTGTTGGTATTATTTCTAATACAGAATTGTGTGATTTATATAAGTGTGCATGTCCACATGTGAGTAATCTGCATGATTCTGTGGGAAAATGTAATGTAGGTATAATTTCTGGGCTATGAATGAGTCCTCCTTCCATCGCTAGGTGATTCATGCACTTTTAGTGTGTTATAGGTACAAGCTGATTTTATGGGGTTTTTGTTTGTTTGTTTAACAGACCTTTATCTGCGGCTTGCTTGTAGTAGGCACTATTCTAAATCCTCTACTATTAAGCAACTAGGAAGGATTCCATGGGACAGATCCTTTTCTCATCTTCATTTCATAAGTGGAAGTACTTAAGCCAGAGTGCAAGATCACAGAATGCAAATTAGCAGAGCCTAAATTTGAACCCAGGCCAACTCCAAAATAAAAGCATGGATAAGAATGTTAACTATGGTCCACTTTTCATGTCTTTGGTGTTGAGGGCATCACAAATTTCTCCACAGTAACTAAGTCTATTGCAAATTAATTTTTGAGAAGAGATTTTAAAATGATTTTAAATATGGGGACCATGCTTAGATCCTGATTTGAACAAAAAGACTGAAAAAAAAATGAGAGATGTTCTTTTGAAATAATTTAGAAATGTTAAACATTTAACAGGATGTTACATGATTATAAGGAATTGGTGTAATATTTTTCAGTATGATAATGTTAAAAATCTTTACTTCTTAGAGGCAAAGGAATGAGATACCTGGGATTTGAAGAATAAGAAGATGGATTAAACAAGAATGCTAAAAATGTTGATAATCTTTATTTGTGGACATTATATTCTCGACATTGTGCTATCTTCTCTATTTTATGTATACTTATATTTTGTGAAAATTAAAAGTTTGGAATACTGTATGGATCCCAATAAAGGTATTTTAAGAATACTGTGAGAAAGGAAAACTTAAGCCTAATGCAGTAATACTATTGATAGTAATTACTCTAAAATATAATAAAATCTATGAGAACGTTAAATCATATAGCCTTGAAACCACATCTTGCTTCTTCTAGCTGTGATCTCAAGCTGGTCAGCATCTCCTTATATTCTTCCCTGCTGTCTATTGTAGTTTTTCCCATATGATCAAATGATCACTTTTTATAGTGGGTAAAGTATGAGCCTTGCAGTGAGGGTGGCTCTGCCTTCTCCAATGTAGGAGTCTACTGGAACCGAGTATGAACATCCTTTCTCTCCTAGAGACAGTGTATGTCCCACACTGAGCACAATCTCCCATCACTCCCTCTGTGGCCCTCACCAACTTTACCTGCCTGGAACACTGTAACCATTGGAAAGGGCAACCTCTGAAACGGTATGTCTTCTTAGAGCCTAATGGGTAACATACTCTTTCCTGTGTTCGTGCTTCAGCACAGACTGGAGATTTTGCTTGAAACTCACTCCAAATACAACTCCATACCCACCACACTCAATACCTTTATGCATAATTGTTTTGTTTGACCATATCCAGCACATCCTTTTGTACTCTCTCTTTCCATTATCCTTGCAGGTGGGCTATTGTGAACTTATTTATACTTATCTGTCTTGCCATTTATTTTGTATAATCATTAGGAGAAAGCATGGGCTTTATTAATTTTTGCATTCTCCCTATTCATTTAATTCTTGAGTTAAAGTTAAATAAATTGCTGGTGGGTTAATAAGTTAAGCTATTTAGTAAAGGCTAACATACCTGTTGTACTGGCCATAGTTAAGATTTTTCCACCAGAATTAGCAATATCTCCCATCACCCTCTACTCTAATGTCCTACCTTTCTTCTTTTCCCTATGCAAGCACACTACCTAGTGATTCAAAGAAGGAGACTGTGTGTTTTCCTAATGTTACAACTGTAGGACTCCCAGAGCAGAATCATGTATGCCACAGGTGGGAACAAACTAGCCAATTACACACTTTTTATTACTGTTAAGCTTAAGTAAATAATAGAATTTAGAGCTTTCAGGGAACTTGGGATATTCTAATCTTACTTTTTCATTTCATAGTAAGGATATGGACACAGAGGAAGGTTAAATAATGTGCCCAAATTTATAACAAATGTTAAATTTTGGTCTTTTTCCAAATACTATAAAATCTTATTTCATATTTTGCTCTTACAGAAAGTTAAAACTTTGGCTTTCCTTTTTAAAATCTGAGGCTTACACAATTCTGGAGGTACTTTGTAAGCAAAAAACCCCAAAATTATGCACACAAAATTAGGTATATACATGAATAGTTATTTAGAATTAAGAAATACATATGTCATGAAAAATATTTTAAAATTCTGAAAATACCTCAGATATCAAAAATGTTGAAAAGTAACAGTATTTATATAAATTAGCACCTCAAAATCCTTTTTATGAGTTCATTTATTTAGGATTGTTAAACATTAAATTAGTGGCCTTAAAGTAATCCTTCTTAATGATATGCCAGGCTAAAAATTCTTCAGAAATAAAGTCTTAGGTCATTAGATAAATATAAAATAGAGGTGTATTTAATTTTTACAACTTATGGACACTTCACCTCTGATAGCTTCTGCCAGGAATATCCAAGCCATGGCAGAACCCCAGAAGCTATGCACATCTTGAACATGGCCACACCCGCATTCATTCATCCATCTGTCCATCCATCCATCTATTGATTCATTCATTCATCAGGCATCCAGGAATTCCCTACTAACTGTCAGCCACCACTGGCTAGTGGAAATGTAAGGACAGACAAGACACCTTCCTTATTCCATGCAGTTTCAGTCTATTGGGGAAATAAGCAAATAAAAAATTGGAATCAATGACATAACTACCATAGTCAGAGTGTAGCAGGAGACAATCAGACTATTTGTTTTCTTTTTTAGGGGGATGTGGGATGTGATGGAGAAGAATTTGAAGAAGAGACCCTGAAGTGAGTGTTAAAGGAAGAGCAAAATGGGGAGGAAATTACAGAAACATTATGTACAATGTATTCAATATATACAAAAATGAGGCAGTAAAGGGGATGTGAGGCCTCCATGAAAACAGAAGATATACATAAGTCAATGTCTTTCAGGATTTGAAGACAAGGGCGTAGCTGACAAAGTGGCATGGACAGTGTGCAGGTGAATTTGAGCACTAACTTGAGTCAGGAGCCCTTTGTTTTAGTAGGTTTGCTCTGCTAAAGCAAAATCCCATAGGATGGGTGGCTTAAATAACATTTATTCCTCACAGTTATAGAAGCTGGAAGTCCAGGGTCATGATGTTGGCAGATCCAGGGTCTGGAGAAGGCTATCTTCCTGCTTTGCAGAAGGCCATCTTTTCCTTGTATCCTCACCTAAAGGAGAGCAGAGATATAGCTGACCCACACTCACGTCCTTTCTTTTCATACTGTGATCTAATTATCTCCCATAAGCCTCTCTTCCGAATTCCTTCATATATTGGGAGTTTTGTCTTCAACATATGCATGTATATTCACTCCACAGACTCTTAAAGAATTTTAAGGGGATCAGTGTGAATTCTCTGTAAAAGGTAGGAGCACATTTGTGATTCATTATCTGATGGAGATGAGAAAAAAGGGAGAAACTGAGATAAACTCTTTAGTTCTAGCTGGGTACCCAGGAATGCATTATCATTTGCTGAGATGAGAAAAATTATTACAGCAAAAATGCATTTTTGTTAATCCCCCTAAAAATCCTCTCCCTTGCTTTAAACGCATTTATCCCACTGTTCTTGTCACTTTCTGAAGCAGTTCTGGAAGTCTGCTCTTGTGAGCACTTTGGGTGGCACTGCCATGGCTACCTTAATATCCTTAATCCATTCAAATCATTTATATTTCATGGTCATTTTGACCTTGGAGAAGAGCCAGAAGTCACATGGTGCCAGATCTGGTGAATAAGGTAGTTGTGAACACACCGTGATGTTTTACAGGCTTCCCTTTCTCTTGGATGGGACTTGGCCGCAGCATTCTCGTATTTTTCATTACATGTGGTAAAGGCATTGAGGAAAGAGGACTTCCAGAACTGCTTCAGAAAGTAGCAAGAATGGTGGGGTGAGTGTGATTGAAGAGAGGGAAAGTATTTCAGGAGGATTAATAAAAATGTCTCTTTCGCAGTAACACAATTTTAAAAATTTAAATATTTACCATACATGGTAATCCCATATATAAACATATATTTTCATAAATGCTTCTCTTTGCAAATAATTTGGTGTGCAAACAGAAATATTTGACAAAATTTTGGATTTTTTTTTTTTTGCAAACTCTGCATCAGACAACAAACACAACTGTAGCCTTCTTTTCCACACACACACAAATGTGGCCATAGTTTCCAAAATCAGAGAACAAATTACGCTGTGAACCAAGGTATCATTGCATATATATATGTGTGTGTGTGTGTGTGTGTGTGCGCACATATACACACTTGTTTACCTTCTACTCACCAAAAGTAATTATTTAGAGCTAAAGGTAAATAAGAATAACATTAATAATAGTAAAGTACTTCAATACTTCCTTATTAACTGTACACTCTGCTCTCTAAATATGAGGTTTTAAAAAACATTTCCATCTGCTTCATGTTTCATAAAATTTAGCTTCATCTTTACCCACTTATACTGCCATTAGTTTTCATTTATGGACATCTAGCTCTTTCAATAAAAGCTCTTACTATTCAGGTTCGAAAATCTATATGGGTTCCTTCTTCCTTCTTATGTTGTCTGATTTGCCCTAAAGTGACTTTTTGAAGATGACACTTGAGGTTGTCTTCCCACAAACATCAGTTCTGTTTCTTGAATCCAGTGCTAACTCCACAAGTAAAAAGTTCTTCAGGACTTTTTCTTACAAGCCTAATCTGGTACTATCCAATATGGTAATTATTAGCCACAGTAATTTTTAATATTGAAAATAAATATATTAAAATTTCAGTTGTACTAGCCATACATTAAGTATTCAAATACTGCATGTGGCTATTTGACCACTGTATTAGATAGCTCAAATGGAAAAGACACAATCTTCCAGAAAGTTCTACACTATTGTAGAAAGTTCTACCTGATATTTTTGGCTAGATCACTGTCTTTCTTGATTCTTTTGAAAATGAAAATATTCAGGCAGAATGTTAATGAGTTTTCTCTCTAATTCTCTTCATGGAAAACACAATCACATCCATTTTCATATGAATTGTCCACAATATTTTGCATATAATTTTAATAGCATCATGAAAGTAGTGAAGTTTGAAATTAAGAAACAATTTTGGTTCCGTAAGTGGAAGTTGTCAATTCTGAAAACATCGTCAAGATATAATGGGCAGTCTGTGATAAGGTGTCAAAGTGACATGGCTGGTTTCACAGGGAAAAAAAGTTCACTCACAACACTAAGCAGTCCATCTTGGCCAATTTGTCTCCAGTGAATAGTAAATCTTTCCTGTTTGCTAACTCAGCCAACTGATGTGCTTGATTGACTTCAGAGAATTTATAGTCTCTTTCTAAAAATTTATTACTGAGTGGATCAGTATATTCATAATTTCAGGATTCCAAACAAACCCTTACCCAGCCATCTCACAAAATGAATAAAGTGGCATCATTTATTTGAGCAGTAACTAGAGTTTCATGAGTATTTTCCTTCCAAATCCATCTCTGTCATCCCTGTCAGTAGGTCAACATGTAGTTCACTCAAAAAAAAAAAAAAAAAAAAAAAAGACACAAGCCTTATCACCACATTCCCCACTCTGGGTATGTTTTTAAAATGAATCAATCCCCTTTATGAAAAGACTAAACTCCAGTAATTCATCTACCTAGAATATCCAAAAGAGAAATAGGTCATCATTGCAGTAGAACAATAAGCATAGCACTATTTTGAAGAATCAATAGTGTCATGATAAATGAAGTTCTCCTCTTCTGGTGCTGCGACAAACCTCCTGTGACTGGGAAGTCCCAGCTGGCTCCCCACCAGCCCCTCCTCTCCTCCACTCACCCCTATGTATCTCTCCAGGCCTCTCCAAAGAAAGGAGCCCAGGTCACACCAACCAGGAGAAGCCTCATAGACACAGCTACTCCAAAATAAACCAAAAGGGCACCACAATGTGGTAACTGATCACTGGACCTTTGTCATATTTTTAGCTGTGCTGGCTATATCGCTTAGCAAGTGTGACGGACACTCAGTGCTGGGAGAAGTTGGTGTCATTCCTGCTGACAAGGACATTAACATACTATATTCTTCTTGTGCTGTTCTGAGGTGCATCAAACAAAGAAGTAAGTGGCCAGACTGTTCAAAGTTAACTGCAAACAGGAAAAAGAAAGTTAATGTGACACACTGCAGTATTCTCTCTTAGCATGCAGTTGCAAGCTTTGAAAGTCCCGTTAAGTATCTCTTTTTTTTAAGATAAATACCTATTAAGTAATGTATATGCACAAGCTGAAGTGTTAAATGGTTTGTTGAAACCTATTAGAGTACACAAGATGATAAACATAAATTATAGCTAATATACTGCACCAGTGATTTTTAAACATAAAAATTACTGACACTGTAAAAACACACTTGAGTCATCGTAGCAGCATAATAGCACTAATCCATGTTTATCCAACCATGCACTTTTCAAAAACAACACAAACCTCTAATAAATGCTTTGGATTCACCTTGACAACTTATATGGGTTATTGCCTCGTTCATGCCTGGATAACCATGTGTTATGACTTAAATGTTCTTTAATATCAATTTATGCCTTGAAGAAAAAAGATTGAATAACATAGTGTACATATGGTTCAATTTATTACAGCAAAACAATCATTTTAGTTTGAAGATATTTTCTCATGGTGCATATCATAGAAATCTTCTTCAATAGAGCTCTCAATAAACCAGATTTTTTATGTCACAATAAATGAAACTAAGGCAGCTAATTGTTGCTAAGATTCTAAATAGATGGGTCTATTTGGCTTCCTTGTCAATCAAGAAATACATTCCTTAACACTTGTATTTCTGGATTCTAATGCCTCTAATTGGATTTTACACTATCTGATTAATGAGGTAGTTTATAGGCTACTATAAAAAAGATACTCAAAAAATGGAGGAAGAAATTGTAGACAGTCAGCATTATGAAGAGTCAAGAAGACACCAAGAATCACAGTGGTCACAAAAACTCAGTGTTGGGAGGGTGAGGTGAGGAAAGGTGTTAGAGAAAGACAGTGAATCAAAATCTTTGGTGGTAATCTCAGACCTGACTCTGGAACCGTAGACACAATGCTGTTCAATTCACAATTGCTAGGACAACTAGTGTCCTCTCTGCCCCACTACACACATCAGAATTCCAAGTCTGGTAAGTAGATATTCATTTCGGTCTGGCCTTTGCTGACTAAAGTATTGGGGTTGAGTCACACATTCAGGATACTGATTTTTTAAAGCCCCGAATCATAGGTGGGATGACCGATGTGGTAGACTGTACAGATATCTATTTCCTTAAGAATTAAGCAATCAAATCAACAGTTACTGACACAAAGGGAGACAGAACCATCACTTATATGGTTTATAATAAAACAGCAAACACTCCTGCAATTTAAAAATGTGTTCATTTTATCAGTTATTCCTTATGTGTTACTTTCTCTGTCAGTCACCAACATTATTTCAGAATACTTCGTTGGACAAGGGGTGGGTGTGGTGGGGTAGAACAAACAGGCTAAAAAGATTATTTCTGTTGGCGTTTGGTAGATGATCAGACAAACACTCTCAGAAAAGTATAAAAGAAAGAATGTTTCATGGAGGAGGTAGCACTGGTTGCTGAATCTTGAAAAATATTACAAGTTAGTATGAAAATAATCTGAGGGATATAATAGAAAGAAAGCCATATATATATATGTCTTCCTGAAATGAACTCTGATGGTAAAATCCAGAAGTCAAAAATTTCATCCAACCACTGCTCAGCAATGGAGTTTTCCACCCTCCCAACAAAGTTATTTCTAAATAGAGTTTCAGTGAGATGCTCCGCCCAAGCAAACGCTTACTCTCCTTTGTCATAATGAGCTTCTGAAGCTGCACTGACATCAGTCTCCTCGCCTGGTCTTGGGTCTTTTCCATAACCACTTGCTCTCTCCTCCAAAGGCAGTAATTAATCTTACACACAAAGTAGGTGAAAATACTCTTGCAACAATTTTGCAACAACACATTTTGCTAAGCATCCTACCAATCAAATTATGAATGTATTAATAAAAATTCAGTTGAAATGAACTTCCCTGCTTCCGGCATGAGGCCATTAGTCCTTCTACCTAGTTTTCTAAGATTTTGATTGCATTAGTTTCCCCTCCTAGATTTATTACTGCCCCATCTCTTCATATTCAAATTTTACCAGTCTTTTAAAGTCCTAATCTTGCAAGGAAGCCTTCCTTGATTTATAATGTCTCAGTGGCCCCTCTATTTCCTCTCCACTCGCACAGCTCATTCAGGACTTTCGCAGAGCGCATCGTTTCTATCCTGCACTCTTATTGCTTATGTTTGTGTTCCCTGGTAAACCCTGGTGTCCTCAAAGGCAAGCAGGCTCTTTCCTATTCTCATTCTGGGTCCTCCTTACAGTGCACTGCTCTTCCTTGAGGCACATAGGCTCCAAACATTCTGTTGAATAAACATGATTGATTTGTTCATAATCTTGAGGCTTCTTTCTATTGGTACCACTGAAGATTACCATAATAAAGAGTATACTTTCATAAAATAATTAATGGAGAGCTGGAAATAGAGCCACTACTTCCGTATCCCTAATATTATGTCAATAACAAAAGAGAGTAGATTTATAATCATGATTTCTTTCATTTTCGTTTCATTCTTAATCTATCCAAAGAAACTGGATTTTATACTTTTATGATTCATATACACAGGGGCATTTGAAATTCGAAAGAATGTCTGTATCTATTGATCCTTGAAGGTATCATTGTGACAAACAGCAGGAAAAGAGCATTTTCTCCTAATAGGCTAAGATGCTGTGTGTGCCCACTGCACTGCACACTTGAACTGTCTAATCCTTCTCCATTAACGTCAGCCCAGGACACACTCTGGGATGAAACTCAAAGTTAATGACTGTTTATCATCATTAGCTCCTCCAACCAATGATTCACGTGCAAGTCCAGACACTATGCACCACAGTTTGCGTAGCCCACCAACAGCCAGGTTGCCCCTGGAGCATCCTTAAATAATTCCAGGTTGAGGAAACCCATCCCAGATTCCAAATGTGGAGAACTTGAGCAGCATCTCTGTAGATTACACCATCACCATTTCTGAAATCCCCTGGGAAGCACTATCCCTGTAAAGGAAACGGCACATGCAACTGTACACAGCCATGTACATACCACCTATTCCTTGTCTAAGAGGAATGAGAATGTGGTTTGAAACCGATTCACCATTGTGAATGGGGTAGAAGTAGGAGACTGAGCAATGGCAGTCTTTGTAGTAATTTAGAAAGTGGTTGCCAAAATGTGTTTGGCTCATTTAATGAAAAAAACTGATGTTTTCTCTGGAGCTACAAGGATGGTTTTATGTGATAACTGAAAGACAAGACTATCCAGCAGATTAGAACAGGACCTGGAAGATAAATCTCTCAGCTCCAACTTTGGCAATGCTGCAGATTTGCTGAGTTGATCTTTGAAAAGTATTTATTCTAATATAAGGCATCATTTTCCCTCTATAGCTACAGGAATGGCACAGTGCATATTTTTAAAAAAATTTTCTTAAAAACACATTTTGATCACAAAATAAGTGACTGGACTTTGCTGAAATTTTAAGATCATCTTAAATAAAAGATTTTATAATCTTTTATAGAAATCAACTTTCAACAACTGGGGAAGAATCCATTTACTCTGTTTAAAAAGCAAAAAGAAAAGCAAACCATAAACTTTTCCCATGATCTCTATATTTTAAAAATCTATGAATCTGTACTTTTAAGCTATGTTTAAAAATTATGTAAGCAATGATGTCCCTTTTATTTCACATAATTTTTCCTCTTATGATTTGAAATTCTTCATATGCGGAAGTACAATCTGCGTTTTGCATATATTTACTCATATACACTGCAGGATACAGTTTATATATACTCATCAGGGTACAAAAAAAATCCAAGCCCATGTAAAAAGGCTCAGCAATATTGCCCACACAGGGATCACTTTCCCCTTTCTAGTTCTTTCTATGTAACTCCAATGTTAATCTTGTTGTAAAGACATGATCTCAAGTATCATTTCATTCATGGATATTCACAGGTAAATTAAATATACTCACTTTCCCAGGTAACTTGGGAATCAAGCCCAAAGTGATATTTGAAATATTTGTCCCTTGTGAAAGAAATTCAAAACAACAGTTGGTAGGTGAGAAATTACTAGGGATACAAACTGGAGCGAGGGTTTAAGGAGTCTTCTTGAATATCCTAACTATATACTTCACAGACAGTAGCATAGCCTACCTATACTGAGGAGAATCTCCACAAAGCCCATATCCTCTTTATGTTTGTTGGATATTTATATTGGTAGATATAGCACATATTTGAAAAGAAGTGTTAAATTCGACACAGAAAATTATAGAACTTTAAACTTCACTTTCCTCCTTTTTGGTCTTTCTCAAAAAAAGGAAAAGGACCACTAAGATGGCAGGAACAAAGATGATGGCAAAAACACACATTCTGTTCTCCTCGTCTCTACACCCTGCCGTAGTTTACCTCAATTTCCCCTGAGTGAACGGTCTGCGTAGAGACAGGGTTTATCTTCTTTACATTCAGATGGCTGCATTTCCTGCTTAAAATGTCAGCTGCCTCCCCCAATCTTTTGGTCTCTCAGAAGCTGTCTGCTGCCTCAGGCAAACTTAATGATGGCAGGGCCGCAGATCCAAAAAAGGAAAAACACCTGTGGCCAGACTAAAGTTTAGTCCTGAAATAGATAGGCAATGGCCATCACCTGCCTACTGCGTGCAAGCCCAATCAAGTCTATTCATCACAACTGTGTAGATAAGGGCTTTTTCCCCCTCTTTTTTTTTTTCTTTCTTCTTTTTTTTCCCCTCTGTTGTTTTGTGTTGAACTGAGTGTTTTAGAAAGAAAACAGAATATTGCAAAGGAATTATGCCCTCTGCCTGGCCCTGGGAAGACTGATTCTCAGACACGTCTCAAGGAATTGGTCATTCTAGAAAATACGGCTCATGCAAAATGTCACTCGGGGTAATGAATTTAGACTCCTTCTTTAAAAATTCTATTATGATGTTTTCTTCAGATTTCCTGAAAAATTATGAAAGGGAAGTAAATGAGGACTACTGACCGCTGAATTGAAGACCAGTCACAGGTCAGGGGTCATGTTAGCAGGGCCTTGGAGAGGCAATCTCTTATCCACACCATGTCACAGCTGGAAAAAAAAAGGAAAATTCAGGCAATTTTGGCTACTATGAAAAAGTGTGTATGATTCCATACACTTTCTGCAATTCTTGAAATGTTTGATTCATGGCCCTTAAAATACTTGCTGAACTATGATTCTAAAGTCTCCTATTTCTTTCCAACCTCCTTGGCTGGCTGTTTTTTATTTCCTTTGCAGGCTGCTTTTCCTCTGCTCATCTTTCATAACTGGCGTTGATCCTGGGCCCTAAGTTGTTTGCTGTTTACACACTGCCCTTGAGAGATTTCCTTTTGTCTGCCACAAAACTGCACATAACATGCCTATGTTGATGATCACCCAAGCAGTCTCTCCACAAATCACCTCTCTCCTTACCGCCACAAACCACCTCTCCTCTTACCTCCACACCAGTATGTAGGGGCAGCTGCTTGTCATGGTGTTGGCCAGTGAGATACATGCAGATGACTACTGCGTATGCATACCTTAGTGTGCTCAGTCTTCCTGATATGAATACAAAGTGCCCCTCCTCCCTCTTCGTGTGTAGTATGGGGCCATTGGTGCAAAATCAAAGTAAAACAACTTTCTCAGGGGCTGGGGATTTAGCTCAGCAGCACAGCGCCTGCCTGGCAAGCGCAAGGTCATGAGTTCGATTCCTGGTATCGGAAAAAAAAAAACCCCAAAACCAAAAAACCAACCAAACAAACAACTTTCTCATGAACAAGAGATAGCAATAAGGAAGAAAAATATCTGCTAAAAATGGAATAGCATAATGACAGGTGGCACTTTAATATATTTGTGATGTGACAGCATAAACTGAGTGTTGCCCTAGACTTTTTATATTGCAAGAAAAATAATTCCTTTTTTACTTTTCTATATATTATATGTACAGAGAGTTATATATTTAGATGAATAAAATTTTATGGTTTAAATAGAAGAATGCATTTTTAAATGAAAGGATTGTATTTAACATGGAGGGAAGGTTAACAAAACTGATTTTGTAAAATTTTTCTACAAAGGATATCTCAATGTCTTCAAAAAACTACAAATTCTTTCAGCTAATTTCATTAACTCTAATTTTCAAAAATCAGAGATCAACTGCAAGCAGCATGAATCTCTACTGTCATTATGTAAACGCGTATCACCATCGTTATCTATCCAACTGGAAACTTAAAGTCACAACTTCTAAGAACTCTTGACTTAAAGGAAAAATGAGATTCAAATTATAAGCAATTTAATAACAAATGGCATTCTTCTGTAAGGGCTTCCCTTCTCCGTATTTATTGATTTAGAGCCACATGAAAAAATGTATTCTAATTGTATTCAATAGGATATAATGTGTTGCAATTGTCCCTTATTTTGACAGTTACGATTTTGTAATTGTACAACTCAAAATTGTTGCCAATTTGGTCAGCAGAAGCTCCTTCAGGCCACCTCCTTGGTCTCTTGGACCTGACTCCATAATTTTTAAACATTCCTTTCTGGCTCTAGATGTGCTTGACTCACTTTACACCTTGCTGCCCTAGCTCTGGAGCAAGTTATTTTTCCAGGAACTCTGACTCCTTTCAAAATTGTGGTTATTAAAGAAGAGGAAGATAGATGTATAAAAACATCCATTAGTAGAAAAAAGTAAAGATCCCAGACACACACCCATGTGCACAAAGAAATGTTTGTTTTACATACAGTGAAAAAAGATGCGGTTCTAAGTTTTTATTCTAGATTTCTACCCTTTGTTGTTAAATAAATATAGCAAAATCGAATGTAGATTAAAGCTCTAAATTTACTAAGATTCTTAAATCTATTTAAAAGAATGTGGGCAAAATGTTTTCCGAAACCTCATGTCTTCTTAAAGACACAAATTGAAAGTACTACATGAAAAAGACCAAAATATTTTATATTTAAAGAAACCAGTAAGACAAGTGATACCAAAAAATACCCACAAAAGCAAAAAAATTCACATAGCATGCATTCATTGGGATAGGTTTTCATTGTTTATAACTAAAAAGGACTAAAAGTCAGAATATATCTTAAAACTCTTAAAATTTTACTTAAAAAGACACTTCTAAACCAACTGAAATATAGGCAAACTGAAAAATACCTATATTGAGCAGATTATTCATAGAACTAGAAATAAACATAGGTGATACACATTTAAAAGTTGCTTAGCATCACTAGAAACCAAACAAATATCGAAGAATGCAAGCCTGAAAAAATACAAAGCTTCATGATCTTAAAAAGTGATGAAAATGGGAAGAATGGCTGTTCTTAAATGCTACTGGTGAAACTCTGGTTTCTCATCAGATTATATAAATCTTTTCCATTTTATTTTATTTATTTTATTTTTTGGCACTGGGCATCAAACTCAGCCAAGCAGGTGCTGTGCCACCGAGCTATGTTCCCAGCCCAAATCTTTTCCTTTTAAGTGCTGCTGGTGAAAAATAGACTTCCACAGCCATTTTAACGGGATATCTGAGTACTGTAAAATTAAATGGATGAACGAATTTCCTTTTGCCTATGAATTACACTTCTCATCATTTAATCTTGGGCAGCATGAAGATATGTCCACAAGGAAATGCATGGAATGAAGGTTCCTGCAGCATGGTAGGGGTAACAAGAAAATTCATGGCAAAAATGTTCATCAGAATGAAAAAGGAAAAGAAGATACGTCTGTACAATCTGTGTAATTTGGACAAGTAGTGAATTCACATACATGATGTGAAAGGAGTATCAGGACATTGTTAAGGCTTGTGTCTAGACGTCCCCCCAAAGACTTGTGCCGTCACATGCGGGGCTTTTTCAGAGGGATCTGCATCTGGAGTGTGCAATGCTAGGATGACAGGAGTTTGATTAATAAATCAGTTCACTGATTGGTTTGGCACTGCCCTAATCTCGGTAGCCTGGGTATAATATAAGGAACAAAAAGACGCTTGTTTTGTCCCTTATTTGTTTTTGCTGTCTTCTGCCCACCATGAACTGTTTCTCCTCTGCGATGCATGTCTGCTATGCCCCTCTGCCTTAAAGCCAGCTGATTATGGACTGAAACTTCTGCAAACTGTGAGCTAAAAAAAACCTCCTTTAACTTTTGGTGTCAGGTATTTTGTCTTAGCAACAAGAGAAAAGTAACTAAGACAGAAATGTTACTGTGTGGCAAAATTAACCTACAGAGGATATGCCTGGAATTATATCATTTTAAAACCTCACAAAATAAAACTACGTAAACAGCTATCTATACAGTGTTTAAATGGATGGAAGAAATACCGGTACCAAATCAGCTCAAGGAACAAAAGATAGTTTATCCTTAGGGGTTATGTCAGAAGGTAGGATTAAAAATGATTTATAATTCTATCTGTGTTTAATTTTTTACATATATTCAAGCGACATCATTGTAATTGAATTTTTTTTAAATTTTAAAGTTAAAAATTTTCATTTAATTTTAAAAAAGTAAAACAGAAGTTATTTGTTGTACAACCATAACTAACATGTGTATTATAATCATATAAATTAACATACTACAGGTTTACTTTTTCTGGTGATTAATAGCACAAACAGCCATTTTTACATATCCATACATAACACATACATATACAAGTATGTGTATGCAGCAGTTTGAAAATTACTACTTAAAACAATTGTGTATATTTATTTGTATGTAATATGTGTATTCCTAAAAAAAGTTGAACTCTATTTTCTTCTAACTGAATCATATTTTAAATGCACTGAGTACAGTTACTTAATAAAATATTCTATGGAAGGTTATTTTGTACAGCGAATGAGTACTCCTTTAAAGGCTTGATTTGTAACCTGAATTTTCTACATCAACTTTGCTGAATGTAAGCCAGCCCTGAAAACAACTTTGTTGCCCCTATTCCTTGTTTTTTCAATGGAATATAGCTACTTTACACAGATTATTTTTATTATATTCTTACGCCAGTTTATTTTTTATAAGGAGCACTTTCAGAATGCGGCCTTTTTATACAAATATCAAAAAGCCTCCACAGATTTCATTCTGGATGATCAAAATCTCTTTGGAAAACTGTGTGTTTTGGGGTAATTGCTATATTAGTTTTCATATTTTAATTTTATTGCCAAATATTTAAATACATCTGATAAGTACCAGTGCAAGCTGAAATTCTTAAGAGTGTGTTCAAGGGGATTATATTAGAGGCCTCAGAGTAACTTCTAGATCTGGAGGGATTTCCAAAGCTAAATGAATTTTTAACAGATTTATAAGAAAACCTTTTGGAAATATTTTGTAAGTTTACTTATTAACCAGAAAATCTGATTTCTATAGTAATACCCATTATGAACAATTAACTATTTCCATGAGTGCCTTGTCAAGAATGATAACATTTAATTATAGATTCTATTATTTTTTAAAGAAGAAATCCAAGAACATGAAATATCAACTACTTTGATGGCAACAATATGCAGTATAGCAACCATTGTTGAATTCGTACCTGGTTTTGTGAAATTCTATATCGTTTCTAATCTTTTATTATTATTTTTTATTCTCTTTAAAGTAAAAAAAAAAAAAGTAAAGTAAAAGGCCACCAAATTCCATTTTCTTTATGTTACGGCCTTTGGCTATCAAAAGCCAAATCTCATGAGATCTTAATGATCTAAGTCAGTTACATGTTTTTGCCACCTTGTGGTTGTAGGAGGTAAGTCAAATATACAATTAGTATGAAAGGCTATCCTGGGGCTGGGGATTTAGCTCAGCGGCAAAAGCGCCTGACTGACAAGCGCAAGGTCGTGAGTTCGGTTCCCGGTACCGGAGAAAAACCAAAAAAAAAAAAAAAAGAAAGGCTATCCTATCAAAAAGGTAATGGCCAGATTTGGCTTTAAAATCTAGTGCATTTTCATCTTTAAATTTTGTTCATCAACTACATGGTGCGTGCACCAAACTTGCTCAAGGATTAGGAAAAATGGTCAAACCCAACTGGGATAAATATCCATAACTACAAGGCCATTTTCATAATCCAGCTGCAATCTTTTTATTACTTTTGGAAAGAGGAAAGTGCAGAGGTAGAGTAATACAAACAAAATTTATCAAGTTTAAATTTGACAAAGCACATGACCAAGAAATATTTTTGGATATTTGTTGTAAGCTGGTAAAAATGCTTCCATGCTTCACTTACTAATAATAAAAGACAGTCACCTTTTATTGTTCATATTTGCTTAGCAAAGCAAAAAGTGATAGAGCCTACCCAATTATTTTCTTTCACAGCTCAGGGACAATAAATCAGAGGACCTCAGTAGTTATATAACAAGAAGATACACACACAAAATTGACATTAAAGTACAAAATGGAAGGTTAAAGAGCTCCCTGATCCCATGTTCAAAAGATAGAATAACTAAATAGTCTAATATGTAGTTACTCAGATGTTTTCCGGCAAAGGTAAAGGTGGAGATGTGTGGAAAAATAGCTCATAAATATTTTTCCAGTTTATTCTTTACCCTTTA